ACGTCCCCATCGCACGCCACGTGACTTACGTGAACCGAACGTAGCCATTCGTAATTCGAGCGGCACCGCCAGTAGCGCTTCGGCTCTCAAAACAACACTAACGGATTTGTACGGCGGACAAGTACGCTATAAATCACCTGCAAATCCAATGGTTTGTTTTTTCAACTCATTCCCAAAATCTACTTTTTTTTCAACTTCGAATAAGTATGCAATAAAAAGCGCCGCAGACTAGGAGAGCATTGAGTTAGAAAAAAATGTCCTAAAAAAACAATTATTAAAACTCGTCTCGGCTCGGCTCGGTCGCGTAACATGCTCTTATTTTTAAATACGGTTGCAGATTATGAAATTCATGGTACCGGTGTTTTTGTCCACATAAGCTCTTGGGTATCGCATTCAAGAATATGAAATTTTTTCCAAGAAAATTTCCAGATAAGATTCATTTAAGAAAAAAAAAATTCAGATTGAGTATGAAAAATTTACAGTGACACTGTTTTTCTCCATAAACATTTCACCTCTGTTTTCACTTCCAGCCTCCGATTCGGAGTCTTCTCTTTTTTGCAGTCTTTCTCGTGGGCTCTTTTTTTAAATGATGGACAAAAAGACACAACTGTAAAAATGGTCAAAAAAAAACACAAATGCTTGCAAATGATATTCGTAAATTCTTCTTTGTTCAGCCTTTTTATATTGTCAGCTTCGGAAATTTCTTAATTATTTGCATAGCTAATGCCCAGCAACGATGCCTTTCGCAACCAAATTTGATAGAAATTCAGCAAGAAATGTGAAAGCGTACAAGAAATGAAAGAGAATTTACATATTTGCATGAAAAATATGTTCCATCTGGTTGCTTTTAGGGGAGCTGCTATGAGGACATGTTTCGTTCGAGCCGCTTCGATCAAATCATCAGTTCCCCACCATTGCCACGCGAAGTAATGGAAGCATATGCGTGGAATCCGGACGATCGCTCATTGAATATCTTTGTCAAAGATGACGATCGGTTAACGTTCCACAGACATCCTGTTGCCCAATCCACCGATTCTATTCGTGCCAAGGTACACATATTTACCGCACTTCTTAAACAAGTACAAATCTTCGGCGTCTCTTAGGTCTAACGTTACTTGGTGTAGGAAAGGCAAGGAAGGTGAGGGAAGAGAGCAGGAGAGTCATACTGATACTCTAAGCACTGTTTTGGTCTGAGCTTGAAGTGATGTGGAAAAAAAAGTTCTCATTTGGACTAGACTGAAGTGCTTCTTTTTCCTTCAAAATCCAGAAAAAATTTGAATTAGACCCTTTAATGTTTTAGTATTGTTATAATGTCCGAGCATCCGTTTCGTTTTAACAGGCTTGCAAGGGGAAAAGGTATCGGCTGAGACGGAGATGTTGCATCATGGGGCCGCGTAAAATCTTAACCTCCAGTACACATGATTGCCGGAAATTTTGCATTGAGCTCAATGAATAATTGCCGGTGACCGGCCTATTTTACTGCAAATTTTCCTTTTAAAGTTTTCTTTTTTCAGGTTGGCTTTACAAAAGGTTTCCATGTTTGGCAAATAACATGGCCGCAAAGGCAGCGCGGTACGCATGCTTCTGTTGGTGTGGCAACAAAAGCGGCTTCACTACATGCCGTCGGCTATACTTCACTGATCGGTTCGACCAACGAATCGTATGGATGGGATCTGAGTAAGCTTCATTTTTTTTTTTCTTCAAAATTCATGACTTGGCTTTCATTGTTGATCCCAGTGAAATTTTTCACAGCTGCTGAATAGCCCCAGCCGGTGCTTGATATGATTTTTGAAAATTCAAAAGTTAGTCTTTTTTAGGACAAGGGCGACTGCTACGTACGGCATCCGAAAAATTGGCGCTTATGTGCAGTAGAAACCATCTAGACAAACTAAGGGTATAACCTCAGGTGTGCCTAGGCAGCCTTGATAATTTTGGGGCTAAACATTGATGTAAAGCTAGGCGCTGTTTCAAATTAGTGCTTGTGATTATTGTCAGTCGATGGCTGGATATGTAGAGATTTTGTAAAAATTTCTACATAGATTGTAAAAATTTATAAAAATTGTAAAAATTTCTTGTAAAAATCGGAGGTTGTAAAAATTTCTTGGTTGCGCCATTTTTAAAAAACAAGTTTTGGTTTTTCGTGGCTGGAGGAATTTAAAGTAGGGTTCGTTGAGTGGTTCGGTTGTAAACGTAGCTAATTTGCTTAGCGTGCAGGGATGGCTACCATCTTCAACTCACCTCCAAATGTTCCGTAGAGTGCAT